TAAGGTTTAGAGATTTCCCCAATAAATGCTGAACGAAAAGATCGGCGATTAAAATGTGGCTATTAAGCTAATGAAAGCTGAGCCAGCACTTGAGCGCTAATGTGGCCCACGTCGTTAATGTGGCCCACGTCACGAGCCGGGTAGGCCATTTCCCGGTCACGTGGTAGTCTGATGAAAAGAATGACGCCCTGCTCACGGTACACGTGCACACAAGGGGGGCAACTGCTCACTCGCTCAATTATGGATGTCAGTCTTTCACCCAATCAGATGTCGAGTGATCATGCGCGGGCTGTGACGTCAGAAGAAAGTTTGAAATCGAGGCCGACTCACGGACTACAGCTGTGTCCTATGGGGTTGTGGGTGGTCGACTTTAGTCCCGCTTAATTTAAGTTGGTGGGTCTCTTTTATAGATCACATAAACATAGAGCCAGTCACTATGGTCTCTTTCATAGATCACATAAACATATAGCCAGCCACTATGTCATAGATCACATAAACATATACTTTAACCAGCCACTGTCATAGACCATATACACATATGCTTTAGCCAGCCACTATGACAGAATGCAGCAATTGTAGTGGTGTTAGACAGTCATATGAAGTCAGACTGTAGAGCATCATGGCAAGGATTTAAACATGGTAATGGCATTTTTTTTTACATATGATTATGGCAACTGTGCACACACGATAATCATCTAAAATCACAACACTCAAATACTTTCTACTTGCGTTACCAATTTTTATGAAGTGCCATTACCCCATTATACCATAAAACAAGAACAGATATTTGATTTATACCCGAAGGTCTTGTGTCTTGTGTATTGTGTCTTGTGTCGCAGACTGGTGCCTTATTCCAGCACCAAACGGTACGACATCATCAAATTGTAATTACCCACACATAATATTGCCTCTGTACCGTGACAACATCACCCACACATAATATTGCCTCTGTACCGTGACAACATCACCCACACATAATATTGTACCGTGACAACATCACCCACACATTGCCTCTGTACCGTGACAACATCACCCACACATAATATTGCCTCTGTACCGTGACAACATCACCCACACATAATATTGCCTCTGTACCGTGACAACATCACCCACACATAATATTGTACCGTGACAACATCACCCACACATTGCCTCTGTACCGTGACAACATCACCCACACATTGCCTCTGTACCGTGACAACATCACCCACACATAATATTGTCTTTGTACCGTGACAACATCACCCACACATTGCCTCTGTACCGTGACAACATCACCCACACATAATATTGCCTCTGTACCGTGACAACATCACCCACACATTGCCTCTGTACCGTGACAACATCACCCACACATAATATTGCCTCTGTACCGTGACAACATCACCCACACATAATATTGTACCGTGACAACATCACTCACACATTGCCTCTGTACCGTGACAACATCACCCACACATAATATTGCCTCTGTACCGTGACAACATCACTCACACATAATATTGCCTCTGTACCGTGACAACATCACCCACACATTGCCTCTGTACCGTGACAACATCACCCACACATTGCCTCTGTACCGTGACAACATCACCCACACATAATATTGCCTCTGTACCGTGACAACATCACCCACACATAATATTGCCTCTGTACCGTGACAACATCACTCACACATTGCCTCTGTACCGTGACAACATCACCCACACATAATATTGCCTCTGTACCGTGACAACATCACCCACACATAATATTGTACCGTGACAACATCACTCACACATAATATTGCCTCTGTACCGTGACAACATCACTCACACATGATATTGCCTCTGTACCGTGACAACATCACTCACACATAATATTGCCTCTGTACCGTGACAACATCACCCACACATTGCTTCTGTACCGTGACAACATCACTCACACATAATATTGCCTCTGTACCGTGACAACATCACTCACACATAATATTGCCTCTGTACCGTGACAACATCACTCACACATTGCCTCTGTACCGTGACAACATCACTCACACATAATATTGCCTCTGTACCGTGACAACATCACTCACACATTGCCTCTGTACCGTGACAACATCACTCACACATTGCCTCTGTACCGTGACAACATCACCCACACATAATATTGTACCGTGACAACATCACCCACACATTGCCTCTGTACCGTGACAACATCACCCACACATAATATTGCCTCTGTACCGTGACAACATCACTCACACATTGCCTCTGTACCGTGACAACATCACCCACACATAATATTGCCTCTGTACCGTGACAACATCACTCACACATAATATTGCCTCTGTACCGTGACAACATCACTCACACATTGCCTCTGTACCGTGACAACATCACTCACACATTGCCTCTGTACCGTGACAACATCACTCACACATTGCCTCTGTACCGTGACAACATCACCCACACATAATATTGCCTCTGTACCGTGACAACATCACCCACACATTGCCTCTGTACCGTGACAACATCACTCACACATAATATTGCCTCTGTACCGTGACAACATCACCCACACATAATATTGCCTCTGTACCGTGACAACATCACCCACACATTGCCTCTGTACCGTGACAACATCACTCACACATAATATTGCCTCTGTACCGTGACAACATCACCCACACATTGCCTCTGTACCGTGACAACATCACCCACACATAATATTGTACCGTGACAACATCACCCACACATAATATTGCCTCTGTACCGTGACAACATCACCCACACATAATATTGTACCGTGACAACATCACCCACACATAATATTGTACCGTGACAACATCACTCACACATAATATTGCCTCTGTACCGTGACAACATCACTCACACATAATATTGCCTCTGTACCGTGACAACATCACCCACACATTGCCTCTGTACCGTGACAACATCACCCACACATTGCCTCTGTACCGTGACAACATCACCCACACATTGCCTCTGTACCGTGACAACATCACCCACACATTGCCTCTGTACCGTGACAAACCGCGGTGGGAAAGAAAAAAAATCTTGCCATGTCTTTTGTCTCCCTTGGCTTGTTGCAGGCAAACAAGGGCTATAACTCGAGCAGAGGCTGAAAGATTTACGCCTCACCTGTTCGAACAGTGTTGCGTCCCTTTGAAACTTTGTTTTGTTTTATCGCTTTGAACGAGAAGTAGAAAGTAGACGCACGCGCCTGTGTGTGTGTGTGGAGGGGGGGGGGGTGTCGTTTGTCTCAAAAAACGTCCAGAGATTTAACCCACCCCGACCTAAACCCGTATATACAGTTTCCCCGTATATACCGTCTCCCCGTATATACCGTCTCCCCGTATATACCGTCTCCCCGTATATACCGTCTCCCCGTATATACCGTCTCCCCGTATATACCGTCTCATTTGATATGTGCTTCAAGTTCGTTTCGATTCCGTTGTATGACGTAAGTATGTGGTATCAAGCCAGATTTGTGTAGTTGATCGTCTAACCCGGTGTAAAGAGAAAATGTGAAGATTGGATGACGTCATGACGTGAAACGACACAGACGTTACGACAAAACACCAACAGCTTTATGTAGGTGACCTGATATAGGTCAATGTTTCAATGGAAGTAAACTAGTTTTAATAAATCGTGTATTTCATCGTATCTATTGGTGAAATGTTAGTTGTAAAGTGATCTATTGCTGTAATGTTAGTTGTACAGACTTTAATGTGACGTGTTGCTTTGATAAATCTCTAGCCCACAGTTAACAGTCAAACATGTGGCTCACAGTTAACAAATTGACATCCCTCTGGCCTAGAGTTAACAAATTGACAACCCTCTGGCTCACAGTTAACAAATTGACAACCCTCTGGCTCACAGTTAACAAATTGACAACCCTCTGGCTCACAGTTAACAAATTGACAACCCTGTGGCTCACAGTTAACAAATTGATACACAAATAATCCACATCTTGAGAAATATTTAGTAACCTAGCATTGATTGGTATCATTTAACTATACGAAAACACTATTTGTGTCTCAGTTGTAAAAAATAAAAAATAGCAAACGTTTCGTTAAACAAACAACTTTTATTTGGATATCTGTTATGTATTCTAGAACACCCTATGTATTCTCTATCTCTTTATGTATACTAGAACACCATATATATTCTCTATCTCTTTATGTATTCTAGAATACCCTTTGTATTCTACAACACCCTAGTTACTCTCAAGAAAAGTGGATCAGCGAGTCCAAGTTGTATTATTCTAATTAATTAAACAGCAGTCTACGGAATACCTGGAGTTAAATGTATCTTATGATAATGTTTAAAATTTCTATGGGAATAATTGCAATTGCCATTGATTGTAATTGATTGTAATTGATTGTAATTGATTGTAATTGATTGTAATACCAATATTTCTTGGCCATCATCTCCCCGCCCACATTTATAAACTACAATTCCCACCAAACGTTAAAGTTAGATAAAGTTAGAGGTCAGACAATTTTTTTTTGTAAACCTGTTATATGGTTGGGCATGGTCCTCTGTTATAAAGGGCATGGTCCTCTGTTATACGGCATGGTCCTCCGTTATATGGGCATGGTACTCCGTTATTTTCTTGATAGTTTTCGTTTCGTTTTTAAAAGAGTCTAAAAGAGTCTATCCACCAAGTGACGTTATGGCAACACATTTTGTGGACACATGTCTCACAATTACCACACAACCATTACATTTCACCAAGTTCGTAGTATAGAAATGTTGACGGAAACAAAACTAAGAATAGTTGTGTTGAACATTTTTAACGGTGGAGTTCTGTTAGGTTCTAAGAAACCGATATATATATATATATATATATATATATATATATATATATATATGTGTGTGTGTGTGTATCTATGTGTGTGTTTGCAACTGTCTAGTTGGGGTGTGAGGTTTGTGGGGTCAGAGAATAAACGGTCACGTGAGATCAGACATGAGCTAATGACGTCATTATCTCCCCAGCTGTGAGTGGAACCCAGGTGTAACGGACAGGACGCCAAGAAATGACTTCACGTTCTGGACCAACAATCAGGTCAGTCACGCATGCTCTCTCGCCCTCTCTCGCCCTCTCGCTCTCTCTCTCTCTCACACACACAGCAGGTTACGTAAATCACACACACAGAGGTCAGTCTGGTATCTATAGTCCCCCCACACATTGCTTGTAACACCACTCCCCCACACATTGCTTGTAACACCACTCCCCCACACATGCTTGTAACACCACTCCCCCCACATGTTGCTTGTAACACCACTCCCCCCACACATTGCTTGTAACACCACTCCCCCATACATGCTTGTAACACCACTCCCCCATACATGCTTGTAACACCACTCCCCCATACATGCTTGTAACACCACTCCCCCATACATGCTTGTAACACCACTCCCCCACACATTGCTTGTAACACCACTCCCCCATACATGCTTGTAACACCACTCCCCCACACATTGCTTGTAACACCACTCCCCCCACACATTGCTTGTAACACCACTCCCCCATACATGCTTGTAACACCACTCCCCCATACATGCTTGTAACACCACTCCCCCACACATTGCTTGTAACACCACTCCCCCCACACATTGCTTGTAACACCACTCCCCCCACACATTGCTTGTAACACCACTCCCCCATACATGCTTGTAACACCACTCCCCCACACATTGCTTGTAACACCACTCCCCCCACACATTGCTTGTAACACCACTCCCCCATACATGCTTGTAACACCACTCCCCCACACATTGCTTGTAACACCACTCCCCCATACATGCTTGTAACACCACTCCCCCACACATTGCTTGTAACACCACTCCCCCACACATTGCTTGTAACACCACTCCCCCCACACATTGCTTGTAACACCACTCCCCCCACACATTGCTTGTAACACCACTCCCCCACACATTGCTTGTAACACCACTCCCCCACACATTGCTTGTAACACCACTCCCCCATACATGCTTGTAACACCACTCCCCCACACATTGCTTGTAATACCACTCCCCCCACACATTGCTTGTAACACCACTCCCCCACACATTGCTTGTAACACCACTCCCCCACACATTGCTTGTAACACCACTCCCCCCACACATTGCTTGTAACACAACTCCCCCACACATTGCTTGTAACACCACTCCCCCACACATTGCTTGTAACACCACTCCCCCCACATGTTGCTTGTAACACCACTCCCCCACACATTGCCTGTAACACCACTCCCCCATACATGCTTGTAACACCACTCTCATGCTTTCTTGTGTTAACTCACTAACCACATAACTAACTTGTCTATTTCAATGTTGTGTTTTATTTTTTTAATTTACTTTTTGTTTGACTTGTGTCTGTACTAAACTTCCCCCTCAATCATCACACCAGCCCTAACAGTTGTTTCATTGGTTCCCTTAGAGAGGATTGGTTCGCTTACCTTCATATAACTGACTCCCTCTATCAGAGTGACTCACGACTCAAACTCCTGACTCCACCCCCACTTCAACCTGATTGATCACATGACCCACACTACATTATATCAGCGCTTCTTACATTGTGGTCTATCCGTATCCCGTGTTTTTATATCAATAATAGACCCCCCCCCCCCAATGGCATACGTCATGTACGAAATATATCAAGCTCTGATTGTGGAAACAAAATCTAAAACTACAAGAATATTTTTTCAAATACAACAATATTTTTACAACTACAAGAATATTTTTACAGCTACAAAAATATTTTTACAACTACAACAATAGTTTTACAACTACAACAATATTTTTACAACTACAACAATATTTTTACAACTACAACAATATTTTTACAACTACAACAACATTTTACAACTACAACAATATTTTAAACATATTTCCTGAACAAAATTATTACAAATAATGATGACTGCGTGGAATTCACGATCAAATAATGATTTATTGTGTGAAATTCACGATGAAATAGCGGGTGATTGTGTAAAATTCACGATGAAATAGCGGGTGATTGTGTAAAATTCACGATGAAATAGCGGGTGATTGTGTAAAATTCACAATGAAATAGCGGGTGATTGTGTAAAATTCACGATCAAATAGCGGGTGATTGTGTAAAATTCACGATGAAATAATGATTTATTGTGTGAAATTCACGATCAAATAGCGGGTGATTGTGTAAAATTCACGATGAAATAATGATTTATTGTGTGAAATTCACGATCAAATAGCGGGTGATTGTGTAAAATTCACGATGAAATAACGAGTTATTGAAACGAGAATCAGCTCGCCCACAACAAAGAGACATGCCACTAATGGCACCAGGCCTCTAACTCATGCACGCACCCCTCAACATACGCTTTTCAATGAGATTACGTCACAAGCAGCCTGTAATAATTAGAGTAGCTTCCCCTTGTGTAATGAGCCCTCGAATTCTCTCCCCTTGTGTCCTAATGAACCCGCCCTGGGCGAAAAACTAATCAGAGAAAGTGAGAAGGGGTATCGGAAAGGATTTTTTTTTCCGGGGGTAGAAATATAAAAGGGAATTTTATTTCGTGCAACCTGAGCCTGTCAAGTTTTTCAACTGCAAATTTTTCCTGAGTCGGGTAGTGGGCGTGACCTAGTTCTCTCAGGTGCCGGATGTTAGTCTGGAACTGACCAGAACAAGTTTCTCTTGACCACTGCGCGGACTACCAACAATCTGACGACGTGTTCATTGGTCTGGGACCACGTGACATTTCTCTCGAGTCAGCGACCGTGGAGTCACAGAAGTGTACTTTAGAGTCAGCGACCGTGACGTCACAGACCGGAGTCGCCAACATCTCCGAGTGACGCGTGTGTAACACGTGACCTCGTGACGTCAGTGAGAACAAATGATGGCCAGTACAGCGCCTAAGTGCCTACAGCTAATACTAACAGGATCATACCAAACAAAAATGTGTAGAGATTCTGATACTGAACATAAGCTAATACTAACAGGATCATACCAAACTAAAATATGTACAGCTTTTGATACAGAACATAAGCTAATACTAACAGGATCATACCAAACTAAAATGTGTACAGCTTTTGATACTGAATATAAGCTAATACTAATAGGATCATACCAACTAAATGTGTAGAGCTTTTGATACTGAATATAAGCTAATACTAATAGGATCATACCAAACTAAAATATGTAGAGATTCTGATACTGAACATAAGCTAATACTAACAGGATCATACCAAACAAAAATGTGTAGAGCTTTTGATACTGAACATAAGCTAATAATAATAGGATCATACCAAACTAAAATATGTACAGCTATTGATACTGAATGTAAGCTAATACTAACAGGATCATACCAAACTAAAATATGTACAGCTTTTGATACTGAATATAAGCTAATACTAACAGGATCATACCAAACTAAAATGTGTACAGCTTTTGATACTGAATATAAGCTAATACTAACAGGATCATACCAAACTAAAATATGTACAGCTATTGATACTGAATATAAGCTATTACTAATAGGATCATACCAAACTAAAATATGTACAGCTTTTGATACTGAACATAAGCTAATACTAATAGGATCATACCAAACTATTGAAATGACGTCATAAATGGATTGAACCCCCACCCCCCTCTGCCCAGCATGTACACATTTGAAGTGCCAATCATATATACATATACAGGGATGTGTGACCATGTGTGACAATCTATGATAATGTGTGACAATGTATGACAATGTATGACAATGTGTGACAATTAGTAACATGACTGGACAGAATGAGTGAATCGGCCTAATAAAGCGTGACGTCCTTAACGAAGGACCCTGAGAGAAATAAAACATGTTGGCGACGTCTTCAATGATGTGTTAACAAATCTACCTAACAATGTATCGGAGTATAAAATTATTTTTTGTATAAAAAGAATTTCTTTTTTAAATGTCTATATTAAATATCGATTGTCTAATTGCAGTTATGATATATCAAGGTTACACCGATTTCATGATAATCTCACATTTTTATGTGTACACATCCATGATAATCTCACATATTTGTGTGTACATAAATATGATAAATTAACATTTTGTGTGTGTACATACTGTGACTTGTTTCTTAAGTCTAGGTGACCTAAGTTCCGGTGACCTTCTCTTTGGCTAGGGTGAACGATTAGAAGGTCGACCTAATTATATCTAGAACTAGGTCCCGCTTTCACTCCAAACTTTTCTATCTCATTGTTATCTCTAAAAGGTTGATTTAAAAAATATCCTGTAACAATGTTCCAGACTTTTAAAGTATGTCCTTGATTGAACGCTAAGTGAGACAACATAGTCACGTGGTATAGGCCTACACACCAATTGGTTTTCCCTCATTTTAAAGTACGGTGAAAGGTAAAAGAGTATTTTAAACCAACCACAAAGGGTAGACAACTCAAAAATATGTAGCTGGTTGATTATCCAAGAGTTATCTCAAACGTCAATAAATCTTTGAATAGCGAGAGCCGGTAGATAATGAAATTATTTTATTTTCATGGTTAAAAATAAAAAAGGTTAAAAGTTTGAAATTAATCATTTTAATGGCTAATTTTCAACCACGAGACACAAGTATAAATATTTGAATAAGAAAAAATTCGTTTGTGTGTTTTACGGTCTAAGGGAAATAACCAGTTATTTACAATTTTCAAACATTTAACCCGGTTACTTCCCTTAGCAAACAAAAACTTTTCTTTTCCCCCATCGATTTCCAATGTCTCTTGAAGACGTGACGCAAATCACGGGCACGTGCAAGTGACTCGGTCCACGTGCAGCTTTTCAATTATTTGCGCATCTGCACGGCGCATCTGCACGTTCACCAACGTTGACGGAGCGCTGTAACAACTTTGCTGACGGGCGCCGACGCACGGTGCAAGCAAGTTCCTTGTCACCGCCGCCAGACAAAGACACGCACGACGTTCGGGCGGGATCCGGTACAGACGGAGCTGAAATAAAGGGAATATCGTCTTAGCTCAATAAACGGCTTTAATAAGCTGTTTACGGGCTGGATAAAAACCTGGTCAGTCGCCATG